CTCTCTCTCTCTCTCTCTCTCTCTCTCTCTCTCTCTCTCTCTCTCTGCACCCGCGTCTCTACACACATACACACGAGGACTCTTACATAATACATGCATATATTAACACGATTATGATCGCCCCGCGAAAAATCCGTGAGATTTTCCGATTTATCGACGCCTACGCGTTATGCGACCGATAGCAAGTCTTGACCCAATTCCGCCGCGGAGGACCCTTCGATTTATCAACAGTTAAACACTAACTAAATTGCCGACGAATAACACGTACGACATGCAGCGACCATGTTATGCACTTGTGGACACTGCGTGCAGTATGCGAGCTGTTAAGCAGCGGAGTGGCCGGAATATTCGGTCCCCAGGCCAAATCGACGGTGGACCACGTTCAGAGTACGTGCGATACCCTGGATATACCTCACATCGCCGCCAGATGGGATGCCGAACCGAAACGCGGAAACGTGGTGAATCTATATCCGCACGCCGACACGCTCTCCACGGTACTTCTTGCTCCTATTAATTATAATCCCGGTGAATTACGAATATCTGCCGACGATTCGTGACTCAACAAGAGTTCCTCATCTGAATAACAAACTGAAGATTCTGAGAAGCGCTCAGATCGAAAAAAAAAAATTGCACCGCGTAAAAGAGAAAGGTCCTCATTCGAATGATACACGTGGGTAATCGCTAGCATCGATTTTACATCGCGGAATCTAATTCTCGGCGCTGAATGTTTAGGTCTTTCAAGATATAATAGATGAGTTTCAATGGAAGGAGTACGCGATACTTTACGACAATACCGATGGCCTGATTCGTATGAATCGTCTGCTGAAATTGTCGAACATGAGCACTTCGGCGATGGTGTTTCACTTGGACGGTGGACCGAATTTTAGGTACGCACGCACGCACGCACGCACGCACGCAAGCACGCACGCACGCACGAATTATATAAATAGTTCTTTCCTCGAACGAGTCTCGTGCATGCGCGAGCGACGTTTGTCAAACCAAGTTATTATGCACCTGCACCATTATTCAGTCCAGCCGTAAATGCCAGAAAATATTACGATGATTTACGACACAACTGCGCGGATGCGAGGCAGACGCGTTGCTCGCGCGACCGCACGTGTCGCCATTACGAGGATTTCTTTCAAGACACGCAAGCGATCCGGGATTTAACGAGACGTTCTACCCGCAGGAGGACTATGCAAGAAGTCAAAAGGACCGGTTGCAAAAATCTCATAATTGACTGCTCGTACGACATCCTTGCCTCCGTTCTCGAGCAAGCGCAACAGGTCGGAATAATGTCGGAAAGATACAACGTGATCGTTGCTTCTTTGGTAAGACATCCGATGCTATCGCGATTCCCATTTCGTTCAACTTGACGTAATCAGCGTGCGACAAAATGATGAATCGACGAAAGAATCGGGAATACTTGAGAAAATATCGGTCATAAATTCGCAAGAAAACCTAATAAAAAAACTCCTTCGTAATCTTATAGACTGTTTCAATTCACCCTCCTGACACGATTTTTGAGAACGTATTTATGCAAACGTATAACTCGCGTTGTCCCATTGTTTATTATTAGGATCTGCAGACCCTGGATTTAGAACCGTACCGGTATTCCGGAGTGAATTTAACGGGTGTGCGTTTAATCGACCCGGAGAGCTCGACTGTCCAACACATTCTACGGGCTCGGTCTCTTAATTGGAATTTGACAGATGGTTCCCGTTTGAGGGTGGAGCCGGCTCTCGCTTACGACGCCGTGCAACTTTTCGCAAACGGCTACGCACGACTGCGTGACAGCGTCAGAGGAAATTTCAGAAAGCTGTTTTGCAATCGTACGGAAACTTGGGGGCACGGCTTCAGTCTGAGTAATTATATGCGAAACGTACGTACGCGAGTATTGCTTAATGTTTTTCTAGCGGCAAGACCTTTCTCGAATATTTTATCGATCGTATGCGTACATACATGAAATGGATTCGGAAGTCATCTCGACGTAGCTCGGACTTCGCGACATCGTGACCCGCTTCCACGAGTGACTCTGCATGTGCAACGTAACTCGTGCCGGCCAAAGAAATTCGCTTACTTCCTTCGGCCAATAATGTAAGAGAAGCGAACCGTGCACAGACGCGTCCGCGCTCGCGCGCGAATAAATTGCCAGTGAGAACGACGTCTCGGAGTAAGTTTCTGCCTAATGATACGTTCCCGGAGAAATCTTTGAAATTACCTCTAGGAGCGCATACACGGACTGAGCGGGATGATAAAATTCGACACAAACGGATTTCGGAGCGAGTTCCAATTGGACATCGTAAATCTAAGAAAGCAAGGTCTGCGGAAGGCCGGCGAGTGGAGGACGAATGTCGGCATACGGTGGAAGCCGGGATACAAGATTCCCGGTGTGGACGAGGAAAAGAGTTTACGCGACCAACATTTCATCGTCCTGATATCGTTAGTATGTTCCAACTGTCAGTGTAGATATGTGTTATCGCATTAATCTTAATTAAACGATCTGATTGGATGGCTGATGTGTGGATGTAATTTCTCGGGAGGTCTTCTTACGTATTAACAGGTTGAGACTTTATTATCTTGTTATGAGAAGAATATTGAACACGTTCAATAGAGATTTTATTGTTTGAAAATATATTTTACAAATTAATCGTGAGAGAGACTTTAGGGAAAATTAATTATAGCTAAATACTTTGATACTGGAAGTAAGAATGTACATAATATCTCATTGTATGTGTGTAAATGTTGAGATATAATGCACTCAGAGAAAAACATAGTGTAATGGCAACCATACAACTATATGAGTTTTATATTGCAGAATTATAATGTATACAACTCAGCAAATAATTTTGTAGTTATTGCAACTAAATTATTGCAATTAAAGCTAGAATTGCTATAATTACAAAATAGTTTGTTAAACCATATATCTTAATTCAACATACAAAGCTATGGTTGTCATCTATATAGTTGCCATTATGGCGTCATTTTCTCTGAGTGTCTGACGTTACTAAAACAATGAAGAATACTATTCCCGATTAAATTAGGATCAATTCCAGACGGATCCATACGGAATGCTCAAGCAATCATCCACCACATTGATTGGAAACGATCGGTACGAGGGCTTCGCGATCGATATAATTCAAGAGATGAGCAAGATACTGGGGTTCAATTACACGTTTCAAGTGCAGAGCGACAACATTTACGGGTCACTTAATAAGAAGACCGGTCAGTGGAACGGCATGTTGGGGAAAATAATCGCCGGCGTAAGTTGACGAGGCGAGACAACGCGTTTTTTGCAGAAAACCCTCGTGAACGGAATTGACGAGCGACGGGACTCGATCGATCTTCCCCGTCGTTTCGCGAGTAGTGCTGCTACCTTTCATCGTGCGCACGACGCGAAAGCGGCACGTTGTTGCTTCTTACATCGGTAAAGTAGCTACCTCTTCGCGTTCCTCTGATACATCGGTACGATGCAATTTCACGGTGTTTCGTTCCGCAAAATCGATCATCGTTCATATGAAAATTGATACTTATTAAAACGTAAAGGATATTTCCTTTTTACTTCTCCGTGTTTTTTTCTTGTTTTCTTAATAACACGACGACTAGTGTAAAACTAGTCCAATCTCTTATTAGTACAAAAACAAATCTCTTTTTATCCGATGCATGGTGTTTCTTACAGAAATGTGCTGCAACATGACTAATCCTCTCATTTAATTTTGAAGAAAGCGGATTTAGCGATCACGGATCTGACGATCACAGCGGAGAGGAAAAGCGCCGTCGATTTTACGACCCCGTTCATGAATTTAGGTACACTACGCTTGCACGTGTAGATAATGACAATCGCGCGAAACATAAATTGAAAAGCTCCAAAATCCGTTTACGCCTCGATCGATCGACATTTCAGGTATAAGCGTCCTGTTCAAACAGCCGACGACCGCTCCGCCGAGCTTGCTATCCTTCTTATTGCCGTACTCGAAAGAGGTTTGGGTGTATCTGATCGGAGCGTACATTGTCGTGACCTCATTGTTATTCCTGATCGGAAAACTCTGCCCGGTGGAATGGACAAATCCATATCCCTGTATTAGGGAGCCCGAAGAATTGGAAACACCCTTCACTCTCGCGGACACTCCGTTCCTCGTGATCGGTGCCTTATTGAAGGCTCCCACCGGATTTGCGCCCGCGTAAGTCGCGCTTCCCACTTTACAAAACTCCAGTCAGTATGCACAGCGTGAAGATGTTTTTGTTGCATCGAATTGAACGACTTATTGAACGCGCAATGAAGCTTCATCATGCCCGACGTAACAAGAAATTTTCTTTTCACGTAATTTTTTGTGAAGTATCAACTTCACGTAAATTAAATGTAAATAATACACGAGAGACCTGGAAGAAATGATCTATTCGAACTAATTTCTTTGTGGAAACTCACTTGAAAAACTCACGTTATTTTGTTGAAAGATTAGTTTCACAACTCGATTCAATGAGATCTACCTCATTTAGTCTTAATTAACACGGTTGCTAATTACCCAATTGTTTCCATGCAAAGACACATTTTTCACACAGCAAAGTGTACGAACGACACTGCCATTTTATTTGGCCTTTCCAGCACTTTTTATATGAAACAATTCGCATTTTAGAGGGATTTCAACGAGAGCCTTGGCTACGGCATGGTGGTTCTTCAATCTGATCATCGGATCAACCTACATCGCTAATTTAGCCGCCGCATTATCCACGAAATCCACCGTGTGGCCTTTCAAAGTAGCGGAGGAGCTCGCCTACCAGCAGAAAATTAAGTACGGCGCGAAGAAGGACGGTTCGACACTCTCGTTCTTCAAGGTGAGTGACATCCCGCAAGGGAAACGCGAGTAGAAACGTAGACAGTTAACGACTATCGATTACGGCGGCGCGCACTGCCTGACGATGATATCCCGGCGTGATTACTCGTGGAAGCGTCTACTCTCGCGGCGATCGATCTCGTTTTGCAGGACGCCTCGCATGAACCGTACGAGATTATGTATAATTACATGATGAATCACGCTGACGAGGTGCTTATGGGGAAGAACGAAGACGGCCTGCGGAAGGTGCAGCAGGAAAATTACGCGTTCCTCATGGAGTCCTCGTCAATCGAGTATATCAAGCAGAGAGAGTGTAACGTGACGCAGGTCGGTGGACTTTTAGACGCCAAAAGTTACGGGATCGCGATGAGAAAAGGTCGGTGCCTCGATTGTAATCTTACTATGTAAATGCATTGATCGAGACGCAGCATTATATTAGACGTACTTTGTAACGCGTCCACCGATTGGACGCCTGTCCGATCGGTGACGCGTTACAAACTGGCCGCGGTCTCATCACTTGAGAAAACGATCAAAACGAAGTAACTTGAAGCTACCTACAAAACGTCTCCTCTCTGATGACAGACGTGCGTTATCGTACGAACCTGAACGGCGCCATACTCAAGCTCAAAGAAAACGGCGTGATGCACGAATTGCAAACTAAATGGTGGAAAGAAAAGCGCGGCGGCGATAAATGCAGCGTACGTGACGATGTCTGTCTGTGTGTATTTTCGCCTTGTTTGTCCTGTAGCAAAAATTACGTCGAACGATACGTAATCCCCTTGGACATGCCTCAGCACTCAAGTAGTTGCGTGGTTACTGATGCATCCGCTTTTTATAACGTTTCGTAATAATGCAAATAGTCCCGAAGAACACGCACCGGCTTTAATTCTGGCTTATCTGGACGGACCAAGTTTTTGTGGGCAAATAAAAGGGTTTGTGGGTACAGTCAGCACAAATGCTTGCCGCAACCTGAATAAAGTCTAACTTGACTAGAGAAAAATGTGCCGACGCAAATTACTTGTTCAAACGCGTAAAGGACAGTCGTCGAACAACGATCTCACTTTACGTCCTACTCTGTCTCACGTTGAACACAAGATATGCTGGGTGAAATAATCAAAATTCGACCTCATGCAAATTACCTCAATGCTTTGAATAACCGTTTATCAATGGCTCTGATAACTCAGATGATAAATAAGAAACTGTTCTTTTTACAGGAAAAACCGCAAGTAAAAGTCGCGCCATTGAATTTCGAAGACGTCGGTGGAGTATTTCTCATTATGATAAGTGGGGTCACGTTGTCCTGGTTTTACGCGGGATGGACGTTCCTCTGGAATATTCGAAATATCGCGGTCAAACAGAACGTAATTACACGCGCTTCACGACTCTCTCTCTCTCTCTCTTTTTCTCTCTCGTATATCTATTCGCTACGTAATTAATGCTAGAGCTATAAAAATCGCGTGTTTTGCGTTGCAGGTGTCCTACAAAGAGGAGATCATAGAGGAGTTGAAATTCCTAACCAGATGCAAGAGCAAAAAACTCGTTAGGAGGAGGAAGAAGTCTGCCGAGATAATCGAGAGAGATAGCGCCGATTCAAGTTCATCATAAAGCGCGTGTCACTTTCGTAATGATTCTTTCACGGTAAATAAAATTTCGTGTATAACAAGTGTGTGTAATAAGTGTCATTGCAAAGGCCTTGCGCTCGCGACGTTATTTTATGAGACAGAGAGCGCGTTATATAATGTTGCAAAGAGCCTGAAGCTTTTCAAAAAAAAAATCCATTTTATGGAACGTAACATAAAAATTTTTCTTTCTGTAAATCAAAAATATAGTATCTGAAATATGATAAAACGCATAAATAACACAATTTCTTTTTATCAAGTACCGATCCTACATGCCTTAATTCTGAATATGTTACTGAGAAAGAGCAGAGTACCTTAACTCAAATTGTCATCCAGGAGATGGAGCTGAGCGAAATACGCACATTTTCGAAAATACACTTTTGTAAACGCGAATATTACTTTAAAAAATTGTAAAAAATTTTCGAATCTCGGTCAAACAGAGAAATTATTTGTATAAATAATTTTTTTAACTTTTTACACGTTTTGTTTAAACATTTTATTACTTATACAAATAATCTTACACATTTGACTTTATATTCATAATCAGCAAATCAAAAATGCCTATATCTTGTACTCAATTTTATTTCTTATGCATTTTTATTGTACTTGTTGATGATAGGAGTGAGAACATTAAAAAGCTATAAACTGCTCGTGAAACTCAAAGTGGGCCAAAATGAACAAATATGATCTAAATACTTTTTGTACTTCTATTTGTGCCAATTTAGAAAGAAATCGGAGTGTACTTTTTGGATATGTTTACTTGTTAGGAGCGGGAATTTTGGAAAATTATTTCGAAGATTCTAAGTATGTTACTTGCCCAGAATGCCCCAGATATAAAATATTAATTAATCATATATAATAATATTATATATATTATTGATATTAATAAAAGTAAATAGTGTATCACTTCCTCCGCAATTGATATAGCCCCTCTCCTTTCTCACTATCTTAATTTTTCCACATTTGGTCAGTGATTATAAGAAAAACACTGTTTATTGTATACAAATTATGTATGTAAAATTTTAGATTGATATCTTGAATAGATTTCAAATACCGATTTTTGTCCATAAGAAGGAGCACTGAGCATACTGTGCATCGCTTCGGCGAATCCCCATCGAGGGACACGAAAATATTGCGCAAGTTCTGTAAAGGCGTGGTAACGATTATCCGCTGCACAGAGCTGCACTGAAATAACGCGAGGGAAATGAGCACCTCACGATAAACGCTTCCCTTGAAACTGTAATCGTACTGACGATTGCGGTGTATATCGTCGCATGCATAAGGAAATCTCCATATGCAATCGGTCGCCCTTGAAACCTACATAGCGCTTTCAAGTTACGCACACTCCGGCGCGAGTACGTCGCAGGAGAGAACTGTCTTTACCGCCGTCCACGGGGATCCCAATGATGATAAAATTTTATGTTACATTTGACGTCGGGACTACGCGCACACGCATACACTCGCGGATATTTACAGTGTGTGTATCCGGCGATATCGTAAAGAGTTACGTATACCTGGCATTGTTTTATAAGAAGCCCCCGACTTCGCCCAGAGTCCGAGTTTCCCGCGAGCGACCAGTGACATAACGATCGGCCTCCTCCACTCGTCGTTGTTATCGACGAGTAGAAGATGCACTTCTCGACGTTAAACACAGCAATCGCGGACCGTGCTCTCGGGCCGTGCACGCATAATGGAGGAGTCCCGTGAAAATCCCTCCTAATGCATCCCAAGTGGGTAGGCGAGCAAATAATGGGGTTGTCTAACAGACTACTAGACGCATGCACAATTCTACCCGCGGCGCTAATACATTCTCTCTCTCTCTTTCTCTCTCTCTCTCTCTCCCTCTCTCTCTCTCTTTCCTCCTTGGAGGAATTCACTGCTGGCAACTCGGAACTCGGAACGCTGTATGCCGGCGTTTCTGAAAACTATTCCGTGGAAGAAGCGTTCTTCACCACGCCTACGAAGTTCCGCGAATTTTTGCGTCGCTCTGTTATTTCGCCCCGGGAATGTGTATCGACCGGTGGTAGCGTTAGAATCAACGGCAATTGCAGTAGAAGCGGGAAAAAATATTAGAAACATTCTTTAATTAGCAAAGAAAAAGAATTACATGAAAATGTCCACAGTACGTCCATTATTTTTGCGTCCAGACGCGTAAATCTCCTAATATTTTTAATTTACGATCTGTACAATCATGGAAGAATAATGGGAAATTCTTCAGTTTGGTTCTCCTCCGTGGAAAGTTCTACTGGCTGGGCGAGACGTACGAAAATAATGGCATCCAGCGTTACCAGTTCCAGTCCCCCGGCAATATTTAGAATCCGAGGCGGCATTCCCCGAAGGTGCCAACGGAGAATCGCGAATACGCGCGATTAAATTATATATTACGTCATTAGACATAATATTAATGCGTACGCGAGATAAGACGGTGAAACGTGGTAGTCGGACGATTAAGGACTCGTCGGCCTCATAGGGTCGTTAAGGATCGTAGCTTATCTCGTGCATTTTGTCGTAAACACATCCACGCGCGCATTCACCGGCAACAGTCATCCGTACGCGATCGAAGCAACAAAGAAGATTCAGCGAGAGATAGAACGCAACGGCGCGTAACCGCTCCGGTATCCGCGCGACCAAGGATCAGGTTGTTGAGCGATCAAAGTCGCGCGCACACCTCTCCGTCGGGAATTCGCCTCCGGTTTACGAGGCACTGTTGCCCTCGACCGATGACACAGACCCTCAGGAATCTGCGACCACCACCGCCGCCGCCACCGCCGCCGCCGCCGCCACCACCATCGCATCTCGCCGGGATAAATCCGACGGAGACACGGCCTGGCCTGGCGCGGCGCGGTGAGCATCTTCGAGAAGCGCGTCTCCGAGCCGCTTTATTCAAAGGCAGCGCGTCCTCCCGCCGCGGAGGAGAGAGAGTCGCGGGTGGGGAAACGCACCGCGCTCGTAAGGTAGTATTAAAAGGCCATTAAACGGCTCGACATGACGTACGGCTTTGTGCGCGCGAGCGCGAGCGCGTGCAAGCCGAGAAGAATCGCCGGCGAACCAAAGTTCTCTCCTACCTGCCTACCTGACTGCCTGCCTGCCTGCCGACTAACCACCACACTTGCTCGCCTCGCCCCGTGCAAATAAGAAAACGCGGAGAAGGCTAGATACGTCCGTTCATTTCGTCCTACAAGCCGGCCGCCTGTCCTCTGATTAGGGAAACCGGTGGTGTCGCGCGAAATTTATGAGTACCGGCCGCGTCCACGACGGAGAGGACCGGAGAGGACCTGGCCTGGCCCGCGGTAGTCTCCTCTCCATCTCCCGTCGTGGTCCACACCACTGATTAGGGAAACCGGTACTGCGAAATTTACGATCGGCGCGTGCACGCTGCGATATTTGCACAACTATGAACCTCTCTACGAGCTCAATATCATGCGCGAGATCCGCGTTACAAAGTTCCACTAACGCTGCGCGTTCGCCTTGGATTCTGTAAGGATAAAGTGGAAATCTGAGAAACAGAACGAAAGAGATTCTTTGTTAAGACTAACGGTACGTTTCCGGATTTCACAAGACACCGGAGATATCCGCGGAATCGAGTTTCTTCCCTTTTTGTGAAATCACGAAGACGAACCACACGCGGAACATATCTTTCTACCGTTACAACCATATCGGTGCATCTTAAGCTCGAACGAACATAGCTAACTCCGATTACGACTCAATACGAAACGTGAGTAAGCAAACGGACAGCCGTGGAGTTCAGACTCAACACTTGGAAGTTCGCGCGTTGCCTTAACCAAGCAAGATGGAATTACTTCGGCTGGCCGGCTACACGCCAGCACTTCGAATCGCTTCTTACAGCACAAGAGTGCAATGGCGAAGTCTATTATTCGTATCTCCCAAGTAAAGCAAAGCCGGCTTCATCGAGAAAATGTTTACGCAACCCTGACAAATCAACATTGTTTGTTTTGTTATGCTATTTGCTAATGCGAATTATTTTGAAAAATCTTCGACGATCTCAAGAGAAACGAAGAATGATATGGCAGGCCACTTCATGATCTCGCTCTTTGGGTCACGACTCGCTGTGAAACATCATCGTCGCGCGATCTGTCTCGACATGTTGAGGACTTAACGGCGAAATGTCCAACAGAAACACGCGTCCTCCGGCCGTTAATCGTCGTTATCGCGACGACAAAGCGAAATTAGTGGTGCACCTAGCACGGCCGACGAAAATTAGGGAAGATTAACGTGCGTTTTCCATTACCCGCATTCCGCGACGCGGTGCTGGCGAGCCGTCCGCGGATGTGCGATACGAGGTGCAAATATCCACTTTGCGTGCGCGCGTCCGTGAAATCTTAATGTCCGCGGATCTACTTTTAATGCGTCGCCTCGCCTAGTTGCCGGCAGTCTCGTTTGCACCGACGAGACCGCGGATGCATCCAGATTATCCGGTTCTTTATTGCGCACTTATTTCAGATCGCTCGCTTTTTCATTCAGCCACGTGCACTCAGGTGTGCTGCCATGCATCCGCGTCCACGTCTACCGGGATCTCCCGCTTGATCGACGTCATCCAATCGCGGGCTTTCGTTGGGAAAATATCTTCCGGCGATCGTCTCGAAAATACTCTCACTCGGTTTCAACGCAAAATATTTCTTTTTTGCGGAATACACGCAATTTGAGATGTGTGAAAAATAGTAGCCAAGTTCTAACATATCGCTAATAGAAAAAAAGACTATAAAGTGCACATTGCTTCACCGCAAACAAAATCAAACACGTTTTCAATAGAATATCATTTGCAAATAGCTCTTTCTTGTCCCTTTCTGTCTGAAGAAATTTTGCATTTTGATCACTGAGCCCGTAATAAAGGATACTTCATCAAGACAATTCAACAATTTGTATCTTTGTAGATACCGCATTGAATTAATTTCCTTTTTGAGGAAGAATACACGATCAATTAAACCAAATAGCTAACATTTTCACTTCTTATTTCATACGTAATGCTCAATATCACGAGCATAAATTCTAATCAGAAGATTGCCACATCCTATCAGTCGGGAGATAATTTCGCACGTTCTTACAGAGCTGAATGTCGAATCGCTCGCGGCGTATCGCGCGATCGCCGCGAACGATGGATAACGTAATTACTCATGCGAGCGATCTAACGATGATACGAGTGTTTTGTTCGCATAGCCGATTAAGGAGTCTCTCTCTCTCTCTCTCTCTTTCTCTCGCAAACTCTGACCGCGGGCAAATAATTCCGCGTCCTAACGACTCGGAAACGGCAGAGAGAAAAAAAGTAGCACGGCTAAAAAAAGAGGATCCCGGAGAGAGTGAATTCGCGCGAGCGAGCGAACCGCGAGAATATCTCGGCTTCGGGAAGTCGAGGTCACTCGTTCGTTGGAGACGGAACTTACGAGCTGGACGAATTAACTTTCCTATGTAATCTCGTAGCAAGCCGCGCGCTCGAGAGCAACGCAACTAGTACGAGTTGATAAATATGACGCTAATGGCTATTATCGTTTCAGGGGCGCAATCATCGTGCAATTCTCGGATGGTATGCGTGCGTCGGCACCGCGACACGATCTGCAAAACAGATCCGCGGTGCCGGCGGACGTACGATAAGGTCGAAGCCTACAAAGAGACGTCGCTTAATAAGTAGCAACCGCGTATCTTTATACAGGTATATTTACGTTCTCCGCGAGCGCCGCCTTATCTGTGCACGCAATTTAGATTCAAAAGCGACGGAACACTCCGGGTAGATAGCGAAGTCGGGAATGCCGGCCGGTTCAACGGTATGCTTCGCATCAACCAAGAATCGCCATTTGTTATTGCCGAAGAATAAACGAGCGTCTGCTGTATTCTCAGCGGATAAATTTGCGCGACGAATCTTGGTGTTTGTCACTGCGCGGCGAATCTTGGTGTTTGTCACTGCGCAGCGGAGCAAGAAATACATGCCGAGTGATTCGACGGAAATTTCGGTCCTCCGGGAAAATTCATTTCCCGCGCGCTGCAGAAAATCACAAAGAAACGGTCGCGCGAACAGTGCAACGCGCGAACGCCGGTAATCGGTCAAGTGGAATGTAAATTTGAGCCGGCAGGCGGACCGTCCTGAAGGGACAGCGCAAGGGAAGTATCCGGAGGGAGGTGAAGGAAGATTAAGTGCTACGTAGGACGAACAATGCGACGCGCGTCGCGGAGCCGCGAGTCTGTCCTGCTCCGTTGTCAACGACGCGCCTCCGTTCACGGTTGAATAGATCGATCGCGGATCGAGGCAAGTCTGAAAATGGCCTGCTCTCCGCCAATGACACACCAGTGGAAATAACCGTTCGCGGACAGCCGTCGCGCGAACTTACGAGACGAGTGCAAAGTCACTTCGAGATACACCTCAATTTAAAACTGATTTGCCGACACATGAAGTACACGAATACTGAGCGAAAGAAAGAAAAGAGTGAAGGAAAGGAAAGTGGCGTGTATTTAAAACTCGATTTGATGCACAGCGATAATACGCACGCGATCCATAGGTTGCATTCGTCTTTTCGAGAAATTATAGCTCGCAACACAAAGCGCGATCTTTTCCTAAGCTTCGGCAAATGACGGTGTTTTGCATCGGCATTCCGAGTTAGAAACCGGCGAGTTAGAACACACGGTCATTATCGTAATCCCCGGCTGAAAGAATGGCGAAGAGGCACATTCGATTTCCGACTTAAGGGACCTGGCGGCGCAAGAGGGGCTTAGCAGAAGCGGACATTTGTCGCGGATGCACGGCGACGGAGCGGCGCAACGTCGGCTAACGGTACTTCTCCCACGTTCGATTAATATAGGTAATTTAATACGAGAACTCTGACCAAGGCATCCGCGCACGGCGTGCCACGTTCGAGCGGATGACGGATCACGCGAGTCAGCGTACACGGAGCGCCTGCGTTATTACCCACGTGGAACGCAAAATGTAAATTCCGCCTCTTAGGGATCGCGAGAACTGATCGCGCGCAAACGAGTTGCGAAAACGCGGAGTCCCGCAATGCACGGCAACTCGTCCGCGTTTTTCCTTCTGGTCTTCTTTTTCGCGAAATACCGTCAAACTATTACGCCGAAGGACCGAAAGCCCGGGAATCCTTCAATATCCAGACGAGACTCTATAAAATCGATGAAGAAAGTTCAGCAGTAAAATTAATAATGATACTATAAAGCACCCCGGGAAAGAAATGTCGAGACGTAAAACACAATTCTTAGTTCTTCGTCAACGAGCGACGGGGGAACTAATGGAATGGATTCGGCCCATTCACCTTGAATTGCAGAAGGCTGAGAACCTTTATGGCGATGGGGGGAAAAAGAATTGAATATTTCAACTTTAGTAGACCGATTTTCACCCTGCCGGCTAAGGTTTTTTAGCATCGACAAGAAAGAATCCAGTTACGATATTGGGCAAGAAATGAGAAAATTAGAAATCTCATTTTAGCCAATGTAATTTTTCGTAATACTATCTTGACTAATTTTCTTCGGATTATGCAATAAACAAGCGACATTCCGAAACCAAATTTAGATTCTAGATTGTCGTTAAGCCTACAAATATCGTCCAATTTGTAGGCCAGTAAAGAATCTCGGGATATGGCGTTTATATAAACTATTGTATTTTTTTGATATTACGAATCATTGAAACTTATTGCTGTTTTCTTCATGTGAAGATTCAAAAGAAATGCTTGCTTCCCGAGTGTTTACCCGAGTCGAAATTTTGATTCTACATTGAGCCTGCAAATTTCGTCGAACTTGAAGAGTCAATGAAGAATCTCGAAATATACAAACTATTGGACTTACCTTAATGCTGCAAATGACTGTTTACTGTCGCTTTCTTTCAATGATAAAGATATTAAAAAAGCTCGAAGAAACACTCGTTCAAAAATCATTTAATACTCAAATGTTATTCTTAATTATTTTGATATTATTTAATATTCGCGATTATTTTAATCCCTTGAATAGTACTCCTGGAAAAATAGCGTAATAAAACATTAAATTCCTTTTGATTTATTTAAATTATAATATTTTTTTTAATTTCACAAATGAGATATATTTTTCAAAATTCAAACGAAATAGCAATAAAGAAAAAAATCTAGATATCCTTATTTTAAAAATTCTTGCGTAAAGTCGTGCAACATTTCAAATCACCAAATAAGAGATTAATAGAATCGTTTACACGTTTAAATTACGGAAGATTCGAGATCTGATGTTTAATTCGATATTTTCGAACAAAATAGCGGAGTCTAGAAACACACGACGCCATCAAAGCTGTCGCTCCGGAGAAATGCCGGAACAGTTAAGTATATAGATGCATCAAATGCATAAAAAAACAACATTCGCAAGGCCATTTGCGATAATCGCCCTGCCTGGCTGGAAAACCTCAAACAACATGCATCATTTATGCAAACTCCAGAAAAGATAAGAATTTTCAGCCGTCAAGCCGGTTCAAATCAACTAACTATTTAATCCCTTTTAGATCGGATAAGTGGATGTTGAATTATTGAATAAAAATTAATGCGTAGATAAATGGGTAAAACAAAAAGATAGATAAAAGAATAAGACAATCTCATCTCTTTCTTGTTTTTCCTTTTTTTCTTCTTCTCTTTTTCCTTTTTTTTTAAGGGAAGTTTTGATGAGATTTGTAGCTCTTAAAAGAGCTGATATGAAGCTGGAAAGGTAAAAATGACAGTTATGTGACTAATAATGCTATTTATCAATAACATTTAATTTTAGATTCGGTATAATAACAAAGATTAAATAGAAACAAAAAGAGGCATTAGTTGATGTTAAAAAATTAAACTCGCGGCCAAAGAAGCATTATTAGACGTGAAAATCAGCACTTGCGATATTTATATTATATTCCAAGGCTGGTATTCATAGTGATGTAAATTATTTAAGATTTTTTATTTAGAACGTAATTAGACTCATATATTCATGGATCTCGGCTTTTTGGACCAATATTTCTTGCATAAAATAGTGTAACAAATTGTAATAATGTAATAAATGTAACTATTAATCGCGAAGATTAATAAAGCTATGATTATATGATGACAAACTATGAATACCGACCTAAATTTCGACTCGAGTATTGTTATATTCTCGGTAAATTTATCAAACGTCTGTTAAAAACAGAAATTTCCTACATAATAAATAATTTAGCACACCTTGAAAATATATGATGTACCACTACCCACGTCTCAGCGTCCTGCATTCTGCATCCTCATCCTGGCTTCTCAATCTAATATCCTGGTTGCTCCGTCATTGCACTGACACTGACACTCGCGACGATTCAATCGAAAGTATACGTGTTAAATAACGCGATGCCGACGAGAGACCAATTAAGTATCTCAAAAGACGAAATAGTTTAATCACCCAAGAAGAACAACAAATAACACACCGACACACGCAGTCCGTGATATACGTGTCGCTCGCCGGCCCGGAACTGAATGGAAAGCTCCGGGAAAGTCCGCGCGGGATAAAAGTAAATTTGACTCTCTTGTTTGCGAATGTTTCGATTGTGTAGAGCAACAATAAATAGGCACGTAGTACGCGTGTCGCTCGCCGGCCCGAGACTGAATGGAAAGCTCCGGGAAAGCCCGCAAGGCACATAAGTAAATTTGACCGCTCTGAAGGTCCCGGACGTTTTGACTGTGCGATCGCCTAGACTCATTGATGAACGACGACTGTTGGCGACGGAAGAGAATGGTGTTTACACTTTTTGCAAGTTGTACCGTTACTCTCACGCGTCGCACATTTTTTTGTAACCAAACATTACATTACGTTTGAAGATATAATCGTCTAAGAAAAATGCTAATAAATGAAAAGCCTCTAAAGATATCGACGCGATAAAAATAGACTAAGCGAAATAAAAACTACTTCTACTTGCATCAGCAGAGTTACATTAATCGAGTAGCACAAGGAGCATTAAAAGACAACATCTACACTTTCGGGACTTATAGCATATTCCAAATTCGTCTCGGAACGCGTCTATTTCGAGCTGTTGGAAGCTCGGATTTTACGCAGACGAGGGCAAATAAATTTGAGACTCGGGATTTAATGGATTTGCTCTTAATCTTTCGATTAATTCGCCGGCCAACTAACGATACAATTCGCTGAATCCGTTTAATTCCCCGTCCGGTTGACGATAAAATCTAAGAATTCTGCTTATTTACGGAGCATTGCGAAGGATGCGCTTACTTCGGATTGTTACGAGCTGGCCAGAGTCTTTTTTAATTCTCGACATACGGCGCCGTATTGGCCGAACGGGACTAACTTTCGCTGTAAACGTTCTTTTCCGTGCGGACTTTCACTATCGTCGGGTCGTCCTTAAAATGCTTGCGCGCCGGTCGGGGAGCTGCAACCGGGTATAAACACGGCTACTCGGCCATCTGCACGGTGCATCGGCCAATTTATACTCGCGAGATTAATTTCAAGAGCTCGTTCCTCGAGATGTAGGCGCGGCGAGAAGTAAAATTTAATTACGCGGCGCAGACGAGTATCGGGCACGGAGAGGACCGGGAGGGAACAGAGCATAGCGATCATACATACAGGGTGTTCTAATAACGTCGTAATCTCTCTTCTTTCGCTTGAAATCAAGTTGTATTTCTCGATATTCTTGATTAAAATTTTCGGATCAGACTACCGACCGATGTTATTTTCTTCAATTAAGAATGATATCCCCGTTCGAATAAATATTTTTTATTTTCCGGATACTCTCCGCGATTCCTAGCACAATCCTCTAAGAGTAAAATCTCAGAAACATCAAATAGGATTTTCCTCTGGGACTCATATTAGATATTTGTACCCATTTTCCACGATTCAAATCCTGATAACTCTTTCTCTCTCGGATCGAGTTCTACTCACACAGATCCTTACAGATGCTTCCACTACTGAGCACTACGTGCCGATATCGCGAAAATCTCGAATCGAGGCGAATGACACGCGCGTGAAAACACTCGATTCGGCAAGCAGCCGCACGTCGTCGTTTTCGCGAAATGATTTCCCGGTTGGCCGACCTTTCATTAAAGTCGGGTACTTGGTCGCGCACGATTACTCGTCTCCGTGAGAACGTGGAAAAGGAGACGATTTAGCGAGAGCGCAGTGGGATGTTTTCCTGAGAGATACACGCCGGTAGATTATCCCCGCAGTCGTGGCGGCTAGGAGAGAGGAAGGTGCCCTCTCGCTCGCTCTCTCGCTCCCCCTCTCTTCCACTCGGCCGGTAGTCGCGAACCCACGCCGGCGAGATAAGGCACCCGTAATTGACCATAACTCAAGGAAATGAAGCGGCGAACGGTACCGTGCATCTATATTCCGCCTGTGCTCCGACGTTAGGCGAGTTAACCTTCGGCCCCCGAGTGGCACCGCCGCCGTTGCAGGATGTATCGTCCTCCCTCGTGCTTCGGCCCCTCCTCTCTCGTCTGCGGAAGATGTACTTCTCGTATCTCGCGGATACCAGACGAAACCGCGATTCGATAAGCCGTGCACGCACGGTGCCCGCGAAGGGATTCGCGTCGTACACTCTAGTGTCGTCCACTTCGCTACCGACGTCTTGAGTAGATGCCGATTGCAATTTGCTAATCTCGACACAATCGGGAAATTTAATCGTGACAAATTCGCAAATAAGAATTTTACAACTGAGGAATCTTCCATGATAGCCTTCAGGACGACGCCATCAACGGTGTGGGGATCCCTTAAGAATGACTCCGCGCAACACGTAGCTCGAGAGAGCTCTCGTAACGTGTAATCTCACCAATATCACCGCGAGATCGAGCTGTCGACGGGCGTTTCCGCGCGCACAATTGCGTTCGTTAACGTTACAAGGCGTTTCTGCGTCGATGCGATTCGTCACATCGTTACATCGACGCCCGATTCTTTTTCGCGCGATCGTCATGGGACAAAGCGAACATTCCGTCGATGCCTTCATGTACGCGATCCTACGCCTAGCACGCTGAATCGCGATCCTCCAGTCAGCGCGCCGCTCCGTGCAGACAGTCCGCGATAAAGTCGTTAACGGAGATTTGCGTATCCCCGCGAGAAGTTACGACCGTCCCGCTGTATTTCGCTTGTATCATTTTCTACTCGTCGTACAGTAAAATATGCGAAAGTGTAAACCGGCCTTAGAGTGTACTGACTCGGCGCGAGCAGCATGTAATTCCTCCTGCAAATTATGGTAAGACAAACTAGCCAACTTTCGCAGGCTGAAAGGCATAGTACGTTTCTAGAATACTTCATTAGCAAGACATTTCGGTACCTCTCCTTGATTTCGCGTCAAGATTTATTACGCTCCTCTCTTCTCGCCACTGAGAACTTCATTTAACCGTCCACTCCTCTCGTGCGTTACGCTGGCAGTAAATTTCCGCGTACAATCATATTTTTGAGACATATAATCTGGGCCTCTGAGAGTAGGTCTACGTTACTTCAAAAATGTTCCGGACTCTTTAGGAAATTTGATGATTGATTAAATATTTGGGTCTCACAGACCCAATATTGTACGCGGAGAGCAAATTGTAAGCAATTATTTTATGGCATCTCGACAAGACATCCATGGACTTATAAAATAGACTGCGCACTTTTAAAAGGCGATTAATGACAAAATTGAAAGACGGAGATACGCCAAATCAAATCACTCTATCACATGGTACTCTTGGAGGAATCAATGTAGGAGAAACGAAAGAGAATGAAACAAAAAATCTGTGTGTGCTTCGTTTTCCCCACCAACTAAACAACTGAACAAGGAAAGCATCTTACTCTCTATTGCACTCTCTTATTAATGCTGTGACTTCACTTTATCTAGAGCAATACGCAGTCCATTCTATATATCTATATAAGACATTACATAGATCGTCATTGTGATCCACCCACCGAAAACAACCATCAACTAATCGAAGTCGAGCGCGACCAAATCTCGAGATGGTACTAAAAACGTGACACGATTGGGAACGGGAAAATTACTCAGAAGATACCGGTAGAAAAGTCCACGGGGCCGGACGTGTAACGTGTACAGAAATTAATTTTGCTGCATTTCTTCGGGTGGCCAGTATATCAAGCCTTATCTCCAGATGACGTGCTACGAGAGAGAAAACGGCGATCGCGTCCGATGAGAACGCGTTCTCAACGCCTTTTCCAGAACACCCCGCAGCATCGGTCGAGAGGCGTCGCTCGACGCCGCAAAATTAATGTACACGAGGGGGGCACAGTATAATCTCGCCAGGGGAAGACAGACGCAAGGGATCGTAAAGCTTCCGCGAGCAGCCGGTTGTACGGAGGGGATGCTCCGAACGCGAAATCGGGGGATGATTAATGCCGCTCCCGTGGCCGCGACGCGCCGCTTCGCCCCGGAATTGCATAACGGATGTAGATATTTCCGATTACAAATTGAAACGTCCGCGCGACAGGTATCCTTAAGTAGGTCCCGCCGCAGAGGCGACCGCGGGGCGAATCGAGTTCGGCGGCGATTTATCGGCGCCGCCGATCGCACCAAACCGGTTCCCCGCACGAAATACGAATCCGGGGCACGAAACGCGCGCGCAAGAAATAGATCTTCTGTATTTTTGCATCGAGATACGCGCGAGATCGGCGGCGCTTTCGCGCCTTCCTCAACGCGTCGACAATAAATTCGTGGCGAGCTGCATCCGCTTAGCGTGTTATTATCATTGCCCTTGGTATTCTCTCGCATCGGTATCACGATCTACGAGGATTATACAGAGCGCTGCGAAGAGTAATCGAATGTAACTATGATTTCGAGTTGGTTTTTGTCGCAGCAGAGCTCTCTCGTCTACGTTTCTTTCTGAAAATTTTTCTCTTGATTCACAAGACGGCTTTAGAAGAAGAGTTTCTTAAATTTTATGTATAAATCCATCTGTTCTCTTTATTAGCGCTGGGAAATCTCATAACTTGCTGCAATGTTGAACACAAGTGCAAAGAACAGCAATTTATTTTTACCGTATTTATATGTGCATGAGAAAATATTGTTTTCTACGTTCAATAGGTACGCCTTCACGTGTCAAACGTCAAGCGGCGAGTAAACAGTTTACGTCTGAAATATTGACGTAACGGAGGAACACACGAGAGAATGAAAATCGAAAAGTCTTTGTCCACTCTTGCCGCGAAATTCGCAACTCGTTGCGCTCGTCGTTAACTCCAAGTCTGAGCGAGTGGCTCTTCGCACGCGACAATCAACTTGCAACAAGTAACTCGACGTGTCCCTTCGCTGTCCTCACGCGAGCCAAGCATTATGTGTCGTAAAGTATTTTTAGCCGAGCAAACTCGTTGCAATCGAAAAGCGCAAATAAAATCAACTTCAACAACTTGTTTTCCATTTCGAATCATTTACTAAAGAGTGTTACTAGAGAGAAGGAAGATGATGAGGAGGAGGAGCAAGAGATATTAGAGTTATGTTTTTAGTCTTGTGGGATTATAAATATAACATATTACAGTTAATATTTACAGTATACACGAATGGCGTGCGTGCTTGCGTTGTTCTAGTATTAATAAAGTGCGGACGACGTATCACCGATTTTTAAATCCGATCACTGTAATACCTCGAACACTGCGATCGTTATCGTCGTGTCGGTACGTGAATCGATGTGCCAATTAAATCTTTAGCGAGCGTACACGGCGCACGGCCACGCCGGTGCGCTCGATAGCGTACACGCTTAACGGTAAAGAATAGAGCGCAGATGACCAAATTGGGACTCTCGCGTGCGTTGCGTGCGTGGGTGGGTGACTTGGAAAAAATGAACGTACCGACAAGTGGACGCGTACACACG